GACTTCGTCGTGGTCCTTCTCAGAGATTACGAACTCAAGAAAAGTGTCGGCAGATGTCTGACCCTAATCGACTGAGCTGAAATTCATCTATCTAACATGGTCCTTAGTGCCTCTAATAGGTGGACCGCCGGAGGCAAAGTCGTTTGCAATTGTAGATCATGTCCGGATCTGTGTCCGAACCACTATCAGCCTTTGCTAACTTTTTAGACGGCTACGTAGGGTCCATCTTCAAGGTCACCTTGGATTTGAGAATGTAAGATTTCAGCACACCTTTATCAGCCAATCTATTCAGCAACCGCTTGAGGCTATAACAGTCCTCATGGAAGTGAAAATACTTGTCCTTGTTCTGGTTTTTTGCCGGACCTTTCATCGCCGAGGGCCTCTCAAGTACCACCCAGTCTTTGTTAAACTTATACCTGGGGACGTACGGTTTAAACTCTTTCCTTTTCTTTTTTAACGTCTCATCAGGGTCATCAACCGCCCAAACCTCTTTTCTCTTCTTTCTCTCTTCAGCTTTTTGAGCTGGCTGATCTTGCCGACTCCTTTTTGTTTGTCATACTTCTTTGAGTCCGATGGAGGAGCAGAGCTCAATCGCTTGCACATAGGCTTCTGCCTCCCTCAGCGCCTTCTAAAAAGTGAAGATTTTCTTCTGGATAAGGTCAAACTTAAAAATCGACCCATCCTTCAGACCCTTCAAAAAGTCTGTAAAAGCAACTTCGTCAGACAGTCCTTGGATTTGGATTCTCAGCAGATTGAACCGTCTGACATATGAACAGAGCCCCTATCTGTCTCCCTGAACAATCGTGCCCAAGTCGATGCTTGTCTTATTGGCAAGTATGTTCATGAAAAAGTTATATGCGAATAGGAACGCAAGCGTCCTGAAATTGTTTATGCACCTAGGTTGTCGAACCACTATTGGGCAATGCCCTTCAGTGTAGCTGGGAAGCATCTACACCATGCGACATCATCCAACCCCTGTAGACACATGAGGTTGGTGTAGGCCATCCAGTGGTCTTCATGGTGGTAGGTCCATTTTGGACTCTTCCTAGGGTGACACGTGTCAAGCTCTTTTTGGTCCACGTGGCTAGGGTAAAAATACCCAAATCACTATGACTAGTACCAGCGATAGATCCCCTCAGTCCTCTATTTGCATTGTCTAGAAGTTTCACAACATTTGTACCCCTAATCCCAACTTTAGTTCTTGTATTCGCACAACGGGAGATTGATACAATAAAAACCTCTGGTAAAATGCCTGTCGGGCCAATTCATTTGGGACCTTGCAGATCCACTCTTTTTCCTATTCAAAGATCAACCCTTTGTCTTTGTGTTTTTTTACATCGAGGAAACTGTCAAACTCAACCTCACAAGTCATAATCGGTGTGAAAAAGAAAAAATAGAAGCACTAATGTAACACCCCAACAATTCTCTCTTAAAAACCTGTAAATACCTTTAACAATTTGCAAGAGAATTACTAACGTGCTACCGCCACGTGTTCAAACGTTAAGGCTAGTTTAGAACTTGGCAGCAGAAAAACTAACTCAGTTGATAATAAATTTCAAAACCAAATTTAGTTTTACAAGTCATAACCACTAAGGCCCTTATTCAAAACCCAATAAAAGTAGTAAATAAATCAAACCAAAGTTTAATTAAATCCAAACTTATGAGATGAAATATACTGTTGAAACATCCAACACTCCACTCAAAATCCCACCACCTTGATGCAAGTTCTGATTATGTACAAACCTGTGATTAATCTACTCCCCAATATTACAAGTGTAAAAATTGGATCATTACAGGGTCATTGAAAAGGCAAAGGCCATGACCAGGAAAGAGACGCACAAAAGCACGCAATCAGCAACGCTGAGTACATTCAAACTACGAATTATAACAAAGAATCCCTAAAATGTTACTAAAAACCAATCAGCACACACAATTTAATTATTGACTCAAACACACGCTTCAACTGTTAACATTACTAAAACTTCTAACAATAATTCATTTCATTACATTCATTGATTAAATTAAGCAATAGACAAAGTTGTCTCCCCATGCTCCATTTCGGAACATCAATAAAAGAAAAACCCCATGCCTCCTTTCGGAAACATCAATAAACATCTAATGGCAGACGGACGCGACTCCGTGGCCATAGCTAGTATGAGATCTCATCTAACTCCTAATAGTTTTAAAAAATATTTGAAAACAAGAGACTCGTAGATTAGACGGCCTCTAAAAAGTACACGGCTAATACCCCGTGAACCCCAACCCCCCCTGATTGTCAATACTCTAGATGTGCACAAATCCAGAGTTTTATTGCTCATGTATCTTACATTTTACGTGATTTACAAGTTTAAACTTGGTGATGACTCAATGCAAAACAATACAACCAATCATACATCAATCATTCAAACAATTCAAATTTCTAATTCAATTCTTGATTTATTAGTTACAAACAATATTATTATTTTAACTACCTCGATGTATAAACACCTTAAGTGCATAAGGCAACTCAATCCTCAACCTTGTCTCATAAGACTTTAAATCTTCCTTTACTAATTCCATTTCAATAATCGTAAAAGAGTAATATAATAATTCATTCCATATATTCTTGTACCTTTGTCTCTAAGCTCACCTTGCAAGTTATTGCATACATAATACTTACAAGAAAAATTAATACGCATTTCTCATACATGAATCAACCAATCATCACATTAATCATCAATCAAACTCACTACCAAACAATTTCAACCAATCTACAAGTTTCCCTAACATGACTCTAAGGTTTTCCAAATCCTTAAACATGCTTCTAAAGTCAAGGTTTTCGTGTTCTTCTACGTACCTTGAGTAAACGAGTTGGTTGGCCACTTTAGGGACTAAAAATCGCCTTCATCAAAGTCCTCTCCTAAACCAAACAAAAATAATTCAATCAATACCCAAGCAATATAATTTACAGCAATACTAACTTACTTTAAAACCCCTTAAACCATTGAAATAATGCTTTTAAATTGTTCCCAATAGCCAAAGTTAATAATTTAATAGTTCAACTATAAGTTTATATGTTAAAATCATGAAAATATAGCTTATAACATAAAATTCCAGCAACTTTAAAGTAAGGATTATAATCTGGAAATTTAGTTTAAGATTATAAAACAATCTCATAAACATCTCTACTTGAAATAATCATTATATAGTAGGTTAGTATGTTAAAAACCTAAAAACCCATCATAAAACCATGATTTAAAACCTTTAAAACCAAGATTAAAAATCTGAAAATTTAATTTAATAGTAGAATGTATGAATACAACAATCTAAACTTGAAATATATAATTAAAATTCAATTAGTTTCATAAAAACTCAATCAAACCTTCAAAATTCAATTGAACAACGCTTTAAAACCTTCCTTTTTACTAGAATTAAAAGCCTTTATATAGTTCTTTATGTTTCCTACACAAAAACCTTAAATTACATACTTATTCATGAATTTACAGCAAGCTTAGAGCTTTATAAAAATCTGAAAATTTATTTTAAACATTAAACCTATGTTAAAAATCAAAAACTGCTCCAAACCATATTTAGAGGCTGAATTTGGCCACGAGAAAAACACTATTTATTTTGTAAAAATTGGACGAGTTAGAATCTAAACGTGATTAAAACGTGATAAAAAAATAATTAAGAACGGAGATCAAAGTTGATTACGAAAAACTGATAATTTGTTTTTGAATTTAACATCATCAATTATCATAGTAGAATTACAATATAATCATGCTTTATTTAAATAACTTTAGCAACACGTTTTTAGGCCCTAAAACCATGAAAATCAATTTTTAAACCCTAATTTTCTTAACTAAATAAATCTGAAATTATAATGCATAAATTAAACATGATAAAACTTATAAATTTATAATCTTTTAGGATAATTAAACATCATTAAACCATAAAAATAACAATTCAAAACAAAAACTTAATAAAGATTATAACTTGAAATAATCTAACAAAGAGGAAGGAAAGAAGGAAGGAGAGAGAAGGGGTGCGAACTGGAGGTCGTGGGTGAGGTGCGATGGTCGCCGGAGTAGCGGTGGGCGCCGGTGGTAGGCTGTCGGCGGCGGCAACAGCACAGTAGCGATTTTTTTTTCTTGGTTGAATGCGTGAAACAAGAGAGTAGTAGCAGTAATATTTTGGGAGGAGAAAGGTTTATACGTGAGTAAAAGAAGGGAAAATAAGGTGCAAGGCTTTTTAAATAACAATTGGCTAAAAAGGTTTTTAATCTTAATGGAATTAAAACATCTATTTGGGCCACAATTGGATGGTTAAAAGAGGTAGGCTTAGATCACTTGAAATTGGGCTACTATTTAATAACACCATTGTCAAAAATATGGTTAGTAAGTAAGAAGAGAATTTTTAATTAAAATAGTGCTTATTAATTTAACTAATTTATATAATAAAATCGAAATAAAGTATTCGTATACGTAATAAATAAATATAATTATAATTTACTCAAAAATATGGAGGATTACAATCTACCCCTCTTAAAAGAAGTTTCGTCCTCGAAACTTAACCCAAAATCCGTAATTTTTCAAAATTATTCAAACTTTTGTGTTTTGTATTGCCGTAAATTGCTTGCTTCTCAACATGCATACTCAATAAACTGAACTTATACTTGATAAATTCGCACTTGGCCAAAGTTTACATACTTTAATAGCATGTAAACACAACAATATTGTTCAATAATAAGCAAAATCATGCAAACTTAAGCAATAAATGACATAAATGAGGTAAAAAGTGCGAAGTTATATCGCAACTAACGCTATTGCTATTACAAGACTTCCCTGTGTTTAAAAATGAAAGGCATACAGTTCACTACAACTGAATGTTGTAGACAAAAGCGCTAGTATAGAGGAAAGAAGATTGCTATAGGTAGGGAAGGGTAGAGACAAATACAAAACACTTACGTAGTATCTATGTAGATGTAATTACTAATTAGTTCATTAGTATGCGAGATTAGGTAACTGATGAAATCGACATCTTCCAATGGATCTCGATCCTTTTATAAACAATAAAACACATGTATTACTATGGAATTTTTATGAGTTAGAAAGAGAACAGGGTAAAAAAGGCTGCAAATAGATTTGAAGATTTTATCAGCCTTCAGATTTGAAGGTAATGGTGTAAGATACATCGTATGATGCTATAGTTTTCAAGAAGCTGTTGTTTTAGGCAGACTTCGGTCTGTACTCCAGGGAAAATACTTTGCAGCAGCAACTACCAACAAGCTTACAACACTAATTGTGATTGTACTAATAGAAACAGGAACATAGTTTTTTCCTGAGCTTTTGTTGGTATTTTCAGTGCTGGACTGAACTTGGTGCAATTGCAAAGCTGAACTTTTCGTGAATCTGGAGTATGAATCAATTTCTTTCCTTGTTAATGCAGGTTTTAGGGAATTCTTCACTCTCTGGAAATGTCGATCACTCACAATGGTTGCAGATATATCCTCCCTCAACGCTACAATTCCAGCTTCTCTACAAAGGCCCTCCAGCTCAGCACCTGTAAATAGATCAGTGCCATCTGCTATTTGTTGAAGATTGACATCAGCTCCTAGTTTCATATTTCTTGTATGCACACGTAATATCTCATATCGACCTTCCAAATCTGGAGGTGGTACATAGAGTACCTGGACAGCAGAAAAATTCAGGAGAAACGAACATAAAATTCTACAAATTGAGAAATAAATTTAAGTTCCAGTTTCTAAGTGAAAGATGTTCTATCTACAATTACAAATCCAATTTGGAGACACTGCAAATGTATATCCAAATTGAATGGGACATTTAACTTTGTTCAGAGGGCCTTCTCACAATCTATCAATTAGGCCATTTGAAAGTTTGGCTAATTGAGTAATGAGCTGAAGAAAGAATTGATGCAATGTAAAGCTGATTTTTATACACATAACTTACCAATTTGTTTCAGGCATCTGGAAAATAATATTAGCTCACAAATTCTGCAATTGCACATACTACCCATGCCCCACAGTTTCTATACTCACATTAAGTAATCAACAACAAATTCATGGATATAGCCAAGACTTGACTATCATTTTCCAGTCACTTCTCTAGTAGTGACTAGTGTATTTCCATGTTAAGACCAGCTCTGATACACCCCAAAAAAAAAAATTATACTAAAAGTAGGCGATGTTTTCCCTTACAAGTAAAAACCCTCCACACAAATTCATGGTTATAACCAAGACTTTGTTCATTTGAGAAGTGGAGATGAAAATAAAAAATCTCACCCCCCCCCCCCTCCCCCTTCCTTCCATGCGGATCTCTTCATCTCAGCGAAAGTCTGACCCCTATTTTTTTTTTTTTTTTTTTATTTACACAGAAACCCTTTTAATTTTGTAGGACTTGTTATACGAAGTATTATAAATGAATTACTCAAGTGGTATAATCTGTCTAGAAATTAGCTAATATGGAGCTGTCTGACAAAATATATTTACCAAATCAAATCGCCCTGGACGCATAAGTGCAGGATCAATTGCATGAGGTCGATTTGTGGCAGCCAATACAAGTATTCCCTGACAAGATAAAATGGAAATTTCATCAAGTCAAAAGGTCAGAAGAAATGAACAATATACAAGAAAACATTAAGTGAACATGCTTGCAAGGAAACAAGTGCTGGAATGAACTTTGCTGAGTTGTAAGCAGTTAATGCACATATTAAAATAATTCAAGATCATAGCATACTTTTGCCAGCTCCAAACCATCCATTTCAGTCAGCAATGTTGACAGAAGCCTCTCTCCAACGGATATATTGCCACTTGAACCCCCACCCCTGGAAATGAATCATCATAAAAAAAATTCTAAAGGTTAATATTAAACCACACTTAAGTTCTTAATAAGCTGATACAATGTCACAAAGACACTAACACATGTACCAACATTTTCCAAGGGCCAAATCACATTTTAAAAGGCGATTATTGTCAGGAGAGAATAAGAGTCGTCCATCAAAACAGAAAGAGTCCAGAACTTAGCTATTACTTCTTTAAGAGTTACAGTATAATTAATTTTATTTAGTTTGCACTAGGCAACACAGTAAGATAAGAAGATCAAGGCAAATATCCTTACAAAATGTTCTTTCAATCACCAAAGAAATAAAAATAAAAAATAAATACATCACATGTAAACATGTTCAGAACTTCAGATGGCAATTTGTAGTTAGTAACTGCGCTGCATCATTTAGATAAACAAAGAGAAAGAAGATGGCCCCAGAAGTTAACCTTAAAAATCCTCTTATTAATGGACCTGCATTGTTTTACACTTGTAGCTCATTACGGAAATTGACCCTAAAACAGAAAGGATGGAACCTATGACCCGTATGGTAGGCAGAAATAAACATAAATAATGGTACATGAAAATATGTAAGGGAAGCTCCATGTCAATGTCCATTACGCCTGTCCTTCCAAGACAACTATTTTCTTTCATAAATTCTCAATTCCACCTCATAAGTGGTGATGGATGATAATTGGAACTTGTGAAGAACAACACATACAATATATCACTGCCTACCAAATAAATGGTGTCAGAGGCAATTGTCACAAGTAAAGCTTTTTCACATATACTGAGTTATTATTTGAAGATTGAATAAAACAACTAGGTTCCTTAACTCTGTATGGAATTCATTACAAGGGGAGAGGGATGCCATATGTAAAGTTATAAAATGAGAAGGGCAAATCTTTCTTTTTATGCTAAATAGAGTCAGCTAAATTGACAAGAGAATGAATGTCATGTATAGTAGATACTCCTGGTTCTATATATAGTGGATGCTGACAATGCAATAAGTAGACACAAATTTTAAGCAAACCCTCAGGCCAAAAGAGACAGTATAACAACCTCCTTGCAGCAATGACATCAGCTTCATCAAAGAATAAAATGCTAGGTGCTGCTAGCCGTGCTCTCCGAAACGTGTTCCGCAACAAAGCCTCACCCTCACCAACATACATTGAATATAGCTCTGCACCACTATGTGAAACAATTATATAAATGAGAACCTGTTATAGTATAAATGTTCAACATCAATTTAGAAGTTTGCAATTTGTACTCAAGAAATGTGAAATTATATAAAGGAGAAATGCTCTAGGTAGCTGTCTGACAAATGGTATCGCATAACAACTTACAACTGAGAATTGGCATATTGAAGATAACCATACCTCAAGGAGAAAAAAGAAGCTTGTGCTGCATGAGCTGCAGCTTTAGCAAGGGTGGTTTTCGAGCATCCAGGAGGTCCATGCAGAAGAATCCCTCGAATGGGAGACACACCCATCCTTGAAAAAGCACCAGCATGTTTAATAGGCCACTCCACTGCCTGCCGAAGCTTCTTCTGCAATGCAGCATCACCAAAAGAGAGTAAGAAACTACAAGGAAATCCAACAAAATCTAACCTAATAATTTCCTGATAGCATCCATCCCAATATTAAAGTCAAGCTAGCAGTTACTGATCTTCCTAGCACTATAAAAATCTCTTTTGATGCCAACATATTCCGAGAAGTCATCAGGCCTAATACTATCCAGATATTATCATGCAAAAGTAGCTTGAAATCTTAAATTATCATTTAGTTTAAAGGGAAACTTTATCTTGTCTATCCACCATTCTAAGACCCTTTATGTCTGCATATAGCTTTCATTTACAGTTCTCATGTCTCTTGTATTCTATCACAAAATGTTGATTCAAAATATAGAAACCAGATGTAAGCAAGAGACCTTCATAACTTGATGTTTGTTTGATCAATGGATTTGGTATATTAGTATGGTATTTTCCTAAGAGTAGCATCCTCTTATATGATCTAAATTGCCTAAACAAATACGCAGAAGCTCATTAACAGCAATAACTACAGGAAAGGCTAAGATCGATTAGATTGCCTTTAGCTCAAGTAAATTTGTCCAACATATTTTTTCCTCAGTAAAATCTGTTCCAATGTCGTAAACTCGTAATTAAATTAGCTTAAACTAAATTTGTGCTTCTTCTACATCCCTTGCTTCCCCATACCGTGTTATATTCAATCCACCTCTAAACACAATAAAAATTTCCTGCCAAGAAGAAAGTAAAAGTTCATCGAGTATACCGACCTTCAGCTCATTTAGTCCCCCGATATCATCCCAGGACACCTTAGGGATTTCTACCGTGACACCTCTTGTTATGCTTGGACCAACTATAGATCTTGCAAGCTTCCAATCATCCATTGTGATGCACCACATATCATCATTTTCCACAATAGCTTTTGATCTCTGCACAGCAGACATGGCCGCCTCACGACATAAAGCTTCCAAATCAGCCCCGACATATCCATTACATGACGCAGCTATTGCTTGTAAGTCAGTACTGGGATCAAGTGGAAGCTTCCTGGTATACAACTGCCAAAAACAAGGAAAAAAAAAAAAAAAACCTGCATAAACAACAGCTGTGGCCAAAACATCCAAAGAAGTGGTTGCTATAGAAAGTCAACTGTCTATTGATCTAGCAAATGTAGACAGGAAGGATAGGAGGTCCTTATCATAGCTTACCATCAATATTTGAAGGCGCTCATACTCATTAGGGGTTGTCACCTCAATTTCAGCATCAAATCGTCCTGATCTTCTCAGTGCTGGATCAATAGCATCAATCCTTTAGATATTAGCAACTTAGAATTAGTAAGTATATGTGAATTAACTGAAATGCAAAAGTAAAAAAGACCCTGATGATGATGGTGTTCATCTTACTACAGCTCCATCATCATCATGAATATCATTAAAAATCAAGTTGTAAACCACATCAGTAAAAACAGATTTCCAAGATCAATATAACATGTAATCTACACAGACACAAGAAAAAAAAAATATCCAAGCCAACATAATCCATCATAAGGTTCTCATCAGCTTCTTTTGTGTTTCCAAAAATAGTTGCCTAACAAATACAAGGTGCAAACTACAATCCAACTCCATATGGAGGAGATAATAATAATATTTAGCTATAAGATAGAGTGATAGACAAACAACATCCGTACTGAGCTATATATGTGGCAACATACAGCATAATATTATGTTTCATAGAGTTCAAACAAACTACAGTTATAACAAATGTACCGTATTGGTTGAGCACTTGAGCTAATATATGACAGGAGATAATACCCCAGAATTTGCCAGATCATATGACAGTATGACACTATGACCGAGAAAATTAACTAGGAAGAAGAGACTTTAGAATATGTGCAAGAGATTGGACAAATATATGTTTGTACTGCATTCCAGTTTGTAATATGACAACCAAAGCTCTGAACATAGTATCCCTTGAAAGAAGGAATTGTAATTATTGCGATATTATTCAGTATATAATCTCCACCCAGCAATATAATCTTAAGCAATGATCCCAACACCAGAATGATCAAAGAGATTATTTGCAATCAATATTTGGACAGTTTTAGCTACTTGCCAAGAAGAAGACTGTAATGGTGGAGCAAGGAAATAAAAATTAGCATATAGGAAGATGTAAATACACTGCATGATAGTATAGATATCAGAGTAAGGAACAACCTGTTAGTTGATGCTACAACAACAAACTGAGGTGTAGTTGATGTGGGTCCATTTGAATCCATAAGTGTAAATAGTTGGGAGGCCAATCGAGTATCTTGCTCTCTTCTGCATTTAGTTATTTATTGGATAATAATCAAAGTTTGCAGCAAAATAAAAATATCACTCTGAGCAACCACAGCACAGACATGACTCTAAAGTTTAAATGCTAAATGCTATCTTTAAATTCAGTATGTTAATCACATCACATCAGTATTTTTAATAACACTGTATATGTCCTATCAATAAACCTTTCAATTATCCACAGAAAAGCAGAATTCAAACAGATATTCCCGCTACGCAGCTACAAGACGTAGAAGAAAGACTATTATTTTGGTAACATAAATCAATGTAGGCTTTTCATTTGCATATTGTTATCCAGCTTTCCAGAATTAAAATAATTACTCACATTGAAATCAAGTAGCATAAAGATAGAGGAGCTAGAGGCTCACATGTCTCTCATTTTAATCCTCTATTATTTTTATCTATTAGAAAAGAGAACTTATTTAGGGAAAAATATATGTAATAAGTATCAATACTAGCTGAAATGCTACAAGCTAGATTTAAGTTTATCAGAAGTGTATTCTTTCATACCTGGAAGCACGACGTGGACAGAGAGCATCAATCTCATCAATAAAAATGACCGAAGGCTTGCCTGACTTTGCATGAGATGACGCTTCTGAGAAAGCGTCGCGAAGGACTCTCTCACTTTCTCCAACATGAGCTCTATGAACAGTATGTGGACTGCAACAAAAACAAGAGCAAATTAGAACCCATTTTATGAATAAACACGAGAGAACACACTTTCACTACCTAATAACGATTAGCTTGGCATCACATTCCTTGACCACTGCACGTACCAAGCTTGTCTGGCAATGCAAACGAAACACATCAGTAGCCAAATATATAAATGAAGTTGATCGCTTGATTAGAGCTTCAGAATAAATTTGAAAAATGATCGCTAGCCTATACTACTATACTAGTAATAGATCACTTAAGCAAGAACATCTATGGATGCAGCTACATCAAAATCTCTAAATAACCTTCCCCTACCAGTTGGTCAAACCCAATGACCTCAAATCTTTTTCATTTATCTTTCACTAAGGCTCTGCTTTTTTCAACGGAAAGCATTTTTTAGAAAATACTTTTCTCATTTTTTATAGTTTATCTATAAAGGGTGGAAAACAACTTTCCCAAAGGCAAAAAATAGTTTTCCCAAAAATGGAAAACATTTTTCTTATGAAAGGAAGCAATGCTACAATTGCCTCCCTACTCCTAGCATCCCTTTCCTCTCCTCCCATCCATCTTCTCCTTTACACTTCCAATTTCCTCTTCCTCTATTAATTTTCTTTTAAGGAAGGAAAACTATTTTTACAATCATGTTTTCTTTTCTATGGAAAATCATTTTCCCAAAAAAAGCCTAAGCAACATTTTTTTTATTTCCACTAGAATCATGCACTTCTTAGGTTAGGGTTCCTCAATTCCAAAATAGAACTATGCCAACCCCCCCCCCCCATAAAAAGACTTCCACCACCATATCATTTGCTTAGGTGACAACACCAATGAATATATCAGCTACTCGCAATTCATTTAAAAATCCCCTCAAAACAAGACTTTCGACGTAATTATATCAATACATTCAAATAATTTCTATGCCCTCTTTCCATAACAATCTTAATTTAACTCCCATTACCAAGAAAATGATACACACAACTTTCACAATAATCAAATTTCCAATTTTTAGACATCACACACCAAAATCAAAATTCGGGCAAAACCGCAAAAAAGAATTCAATCAATTGGGGGAAAAGGGGGTTAGATTGACTCACCTTACCGGTGCCCGGAGGACCGAAGAGCAACAAGCCGCGACGCCACTGAAATATAATCAAAAATTACAAAAAACATACAAAATTATCTGAAATATAATTTAGAAAGAAAGAGAGACAAATACTTTGAGACCAAGGAGTTGAGCATGAGAAGAGTATAGAAGAGGAAAAGCGATGAGTTCACGAAGAGCTTGGAGTGCTTCAGAATTTCCAGCGATTGATTGTTCAGCTTTCCATTCTTCATTTCTGATTGATTTATTGCTGGATTTGGTACTCTCCTCCATTATTGCACCTTTGATTTTCTTCAGAGGAGAGAGAATGAGTAAAAGTTTGAAGTTTTGGCGCAGGGTTTAAAGGCTTGTGATGGGGTTTAAGAGCCACAGTGACAATGGTCGTTGACTCATTTATATGTCGATATCCCCGTATTGTTATAAAGCCGTGATAGCCCGCTAGTCCGCTACACGGGAGCGACGATACCTAGGGCAAAAATATAATTTCACGCAAAAGCTTATACATTAATTACTACGCTATAAAAAATACTCTCTTTTTAAAAAATAATAGTATACTTAGAAACTAAAAATAATTTTGTTAAAACAATAACATTTAAAGCAAACCCACATTCCATATAATCGAAAACATATAAACTCATATCAAATATCCAACAATTGTAAACAAATCCATAATAACAGTATACAAATCAACAATAGCAGAATAACAATTTACAATTACACTAGTAACATCAACAATAACTATCACCGACAAACAATTTGCGTCATCATCTTCAACCCCCAAACATCCAAATTCAGCTTATCTACAGAAGCTTACAATTCAAGGGAGATAAATCTGAGCATTGCACTTGATTTCGCTACACATGGGATCCCATATTGTCCTCAAGATATTCGCTTAGTAATGGTAGCTTAGGTTTGGTGGTTTTCCGATGGTTGGCTCATGGGTTTCATGGTCGACTAGCTTAGTATACTTTGTCTTGACCGGTTTTCTGATGATTGGCTACTCTTGAGTGGATTTTAGGGATTTCGCGGGAAGCCGGGAAGTGTAGTAAGTGGTTTCATGGCTTTTAATGGTTTTTACCCCCCTTTCTGTTTTTTTTCCTATTTACTTATTTTTTTTAAAAAAAAATAATAAATAAATAATCTTTTATATTGCTGGTATTGTCGCTCCCGGGTAGTGGGTGCTCATTAGTCTATTGTTATATTATCGTTTATAAAAAATTAGTTTTCATGGAAAACATAATTTCAAAGAAAAGCACAATTGCAAATTAGTTTTCCTATTTTTGATTGCATACAAGAAAAGTTCGAGAAGAATAAAAAAAGAGGTAAGATGGAGGGAGGAAAATGTGGCTTCCCTTCTGTAAAGGAAAATGTTTTCCATCATTAAGGATACAATTTTCCACCATTGGAAAAATTGTTTTCCACCCCTTCACAAACCAAACAAAGGAAAATGGGAAAAGATGTGAAAATCATTTTCTATAAAAACATTTTACATCAAACCAAACGGACCGCATTTGATGTCATCACATACAAGGTAATAATACTTCGTAAATAATTGTTTTATATTTGAACTAAAAGTTACTACTAGTTTGAAAATGATAAAATAACTTAAGATGTTTATAATATTTGTTTGTTAGTGGTCTAACTACTTGTTCAAATCTTAAATAAAATGTTCATTATACTTTTTTTTATATATATACTTATGTTTTAATAAGTTAAACAACAATGTTAGATTCAAATCAGTAAATGGTGGTAATGTTTTCATTAGATCTCTACCCTTCTCCCTCACACTCTTTCTCTCTCACACACCACACATATGCTAAATTAAAGAAAGCCTAATAGGGATTAAATTTCACTTTAATCTTTTAATTAATTTAAGTACTTTGTTTCTTAGTGTATGCACAACTACACAAGCATATGTTTGTCACTCAACGATCACTTGAGAATATGGCAAAAAATATTCCGCCAAGTGGAAATTGGAATAATATGAGGCCACCATGTAGAATTTCTCAAAATGATTTTGATATTACATGAATATGCTTATATTGTTCAACTAAATACTTGGAAGTTGGAAACTTTGAAAATACAAAATTCAAGTGCAATTAAAACCTTCAAAGCAAAATTTTGTCATGCTCAGCAAACTTCGACTGCTGGAAAATCATTATGCATCTACACTTCGTAAGCAAATCCTCAATGGAACCAAACTGAAAACATCTGCTGCCAATCATTTACCAATGCCATCAGCACGCTCACCAGGTAACACGAGATTTTAACTTAATGACTTGTGGAAGTCTACACTGCCAGCAGATGCTTGATTTGCTGCACGGTTGCTGCCAAAATTCTTACGATTTGATTCTTGTGCTATTCTGGAGCCAAACTGAAGCAGCACAGAAAGATATTAGTTAATCTACCAGCGCTGAAAATACATTAGTTCCACCTTAATTTGAAACTACGAAGATTTTTGCAGTCTGTGGTATACTTGCATTACCTGAATAGCTCGTTTTGGCTGAATTGCTGCTTCATGTAACCCAAGCAATCTAGCAACCTTAACACGGAGAAAAAAGATGGTTCAGTAAGATAATACTTAGATTCACCAAGATTGTGAAAGACTACATCATGAAAAGTCCAAGCAATTGGACTACGAATTGATACAAAAACGCATATTAATAGACAGCACTAGGGATTAGTTCAGCATAAAAAAAGGCATTACCTCTCTCAAAATTTTTTTATCACCCTTGCCACTTGGCTGATTGAGGTCAGCGATCTCCCATAGTGGAAAGTCAAGTAAACTCCTTATGACGTCCTCATCCAAGAACGGAAATCTTGCCTGAGGAGAATAGAAAAGAAAATGCCGGTTGATAATTATCACACAACAATTATTTCACGTGAAAACTGAGAAGTCGGAAGCAGACTAGCATTACCTCTTTTCCATTGTCAGCAATACATCTATCATCTCTCCCAAGATTTCTTTTCCAGATTCTCTGCATGTCCAACTTCATTTCTTCATGTAGGCCAAGCCAACTGATCATAGCATAAAATTAAGTAATGAAACAATAAGACAAATGGAAAAGAAAGGAAAAGCATAGAGTCTGCTTCTCTAATTCATGTACTTAAGGAAGAGGAAGGAGATTGGAGATGAAGAGATCTAGATTCTAGCTTTTATCTTGTGTTATCTTCAATCAAACTAAAAAAACTTGGGGACAATAAACCTTAAGTAGAGGAGACATTGCACTTTACTCATTTTTAAACAATTGAGGAGATTTATGCAGATGTTCAAAATTAGAAGCCAATAGAGCATCATTTCTTTCCACACTCCTCTTGTGTTTCTTACTTATTACTCCTCAAATTAATCAAATCACCGAAAGAAAATGCCAGAAAATATTTGCACCACTCCTAATACGAGGGTATTTTCTTGGAAGCAAGGAGGGGGGGGGGGGGAGTTGCTAAGAAAGTAAGAAGAGCCAGAGCCATATACATGGTTGATGTATGAAAAAGATGGGAAATAAGACTACCTGCTATTTCTGTATTTTGTTCTATGCCTACCATATCCAGCACATTGCTCATCGGCACCAGAACCAACTAGTAGTATTCTTGCTTCAGACTTGTATCTGAAGCGCTGATAGCCTTCATGCAGAGCAGAATTAATTACTTCATGCACCCAACCATCACCGCCAGAAGCCAACCTTAGTGCTATACCAATATTCAGGTCCTGATCATTAAGCCAGACAGGGAAACGGAAAAGGGTAATTAATAAAATTAATTTTAAAAATTAAATTTACATACAAAAAAAAAGGCAAGACACTGACACCCCATAAAATAATGGTCCAGCTCCAGCATGCAAACAGTCAAACAAATAAGGCTTTCGTCCATATAATGGTAGACTAAAAAATTCCAAAGCCAGACAAGGTGCGTTTTATTCACCTGATTTTCACTTATCTGAACTTATCTAAAGTTATACTTCCTCCGTTCCCCAAATATTACAACATGGGAATGGGACACAAATTTTAAGAAGAGGACAAAGATAGAGAGGAATAAAAATAGGGACCCATGTAATACGGAGAGAGAAAGAAAGAAAACATGTGCATATAGGGAAATGTTGCAATAGTTGTGAAATTTCCTAAAATGGTAATTGTTGCAATATTTGTGGAATGGAGAAAGTATTATCTTATCTGAACTTTCAAATCTTATCATAACTTATTATAGATGTAAATTGAACTTAGGTAACCCTTATCAGAACTTATTTTTCCTAAATTTAGCTTATCTGAACTTATTTTTTCCTGAAATAAGTGAAAATTAGGTGAACAGAATAAGCCCTAAATACATAAAATCCAGATTCAGAACAAAAATAGTCTCTAAAAGTTCTATATAAAGATAAAACTGATAAAAATGGAGTACCATGTAAGTTTTTGCAGGGTTGATTAGAGCCATAACTTGCTTCATCTCCATGGTTAGATTCGAGAGATCAGCATCAATCTCCACAAGTCTCCACCTATGTTCTCCAAACAATTGAATATTACGAACATTTCTCTCAAAGTAAAATTAGGAAAGTTATATACAGTTATCAATACAGTAAAGAGAAAGAAGAATCAAGTAACTAGTGAACTCGAAAAATCAATTATGTGGGCAATGTGGCGTTATTTGATGTCAAAGGAATGTACATCTTAAATGAATGATCGTGCAAATAAATCGAATTATTTTGCTAATCTAACAAGATGACCCAACCCATCAGAATTAACAGGATAATCCCCCTCCCCCTTTTTAATGATTTGCACGGAGTAATAAAATTTACACAGTGGATCCTAGAAGAAGAATCTACCTTGAGAATGGCTGATGTAGCTTTTATATAATTTCTACGGAATAAACATACATGAACACCATTATGTTATTCGATAAAGATCATATCTCAAGGTGGGGAAATAAAAAGGCCATGTATTAAGATCATCATGCGCTAAACCTTATTTTAAAACAAAACATGATGTAATTATTTAATTCTGTCAAGCAAAATAAATGTGCCATGTCAACTGTTCTACAATGAAGATTTTCTAGCCATGGACCTTCATCTTACTTTTCTTTGTTGCTCTTAATCTACTTATACATCCATTCAACTTTGTGATTATTACTTTTTGAAAAAGGTGCAAGAAGAGAATAAGCAGATCCTAATCTGTCAACACAAGTGAAAGAATAATGTAATAGACTAGGATTTTCAGGTTATAAGTTCTATTGAACAAGAAATGTAAAGATAAAAGCTTGAGTCTTTGATTGATAATGGCAGAAATATGGATACAAAAGTGATAGGTTAATAGCTTTAGGCTATTAATCTCTCGATAACTTTTGGTTATCACTCTCTTAGTAACTTGAGATTACCATTACTTCAACATATTTCCTCACAATTCACATAATGTCCTACTGCCTTCACTACTACACTTTATATACTAAAGCCACATTACAAAACATTAACCTAATATTAATTGTTCTTGTCCTCTACTGCTGCCATACAGAATCAGGAATCAGTCCCATGCTCCCCCCCCCCCCCTAGTGCTTTCTTAATTGCTTTTGTCCTCTAGTGCTAGTGTGCTACTGTGTTCCTTGTTGGCTCAGTGGTGGTAGACACCGAGTCTATAACAAATAAATCCTACATCAATATCTAGAAGACGGACAAGCTTAAGAGTTTATTATACATAAGTAATATCCAAGAAAATTTGGGAAAATACTCAAAATAAAACCAAGAACATTTATATGGAATGTAGATAGTAGAATGCAAGTCCTACTACCACAAACAATACAGAGAAAGCCAAACGGATAGTGATAATTTCTACAGACAATGAATTGTATTATTCTCTCCCTTTTGTTTAAAGGCCCGGGATCTTGCCTGGTAAAATGAATAGTGTCTACCGCTTTGAAAAAACTATGTGCAATCGCTGTAGAGAGCAGTCACAGAATACTTCATTTATATATCCCCTCCCAGCCCTCCAACTCACCTTGCCTGGTTCCAAGAAGGTAATTATTCAAACTTTTTATTTTAAATTCACTGCAGATAAGAGTTTGTTTTAATACGAAGTAGCTACTAGATAAAACGATGCATTCTAGAGAAGCTAAATAGGACACAAAAAGAGGGAAAAAAAAAACAGAAAGGATGTTATCTTCATTTCCTATCAGGCTATTATTATACCTTCTCAAAGGTGCAATTCTTTTCAGTTCTTTCAGTCCTGCTCTAGAAGTAATTCGATCAGGA